ATATTTTTTTCTTTTATTTAGCATATTTCGATATTACATTGCAACCGGTTGTTGTCGTTGTTGTTCTCGAACGGATGTGGTTGTTGTTGGATTGAAGGAAGGGGATGATTGTGTTTGGGTTTAAATAAAGAAGGGATGAGAAGGGATGTGTGCATCATAATGCATGTGCGTGTGTCATGATCTCGGACACGATTTGTTTTGATTTACGGAACATTCGAGCTAATTCGATGCGCGATGCTTCTTCTTCAGGTTTTTTCTCTCTCTTTCTCTCTTTCTCGAGGAAGAGAGAGAGAGAGAGAGAGATGAGTCCAATTAAATATTCAATTCATGAATTGTTGTCGAGAATTTTCATGCAGGCTTCGTTATTCCCAAGATTTCAATCTGGTAGTTTTTTTTTTTTTTTTTTTTTTTTTCCACCGGAGCCTCGGACATGTTTTATTATAATTCAAATCATATTTCTACGACTGCGCCTGCTTTGGCTCTCATTTTTTTTTTTTTTTTTTTGATGGGTAGATGGTTCCTATGTGAACGTTCGTTCGTTATAGTTTCATCAAGTTGAGAAAATAAAAAAAAATTTTATTATTATTATTATTATTTTTATTATTATTTTGTTTTCGTGTGGTATACACGATTGTTAGCGAAGGGGAGGAAGGAGAGGGTAGGGGGTAGGATAGGGGGTTACGATCGTGTTAAGAATGACTGATTTAATTTTAAAAAAAAAAAATTGTTTGACCTTATGTCCATCGTGAGCCCACCACCACCACCCCCACTCCCATTCCCCCACCCCAAAAAAAAAAGAAAACTCATCAATTTTATTTTTTTTTTTTACCTGTGTCCCCCATTTTTTTTTTCCTTTCAAATATCAATTTGTCACTACCACGACGACGACGACTACTACTACTACTACTACTATTCTCTCCGAAAACGTTTTATTCATACAAAAGGATTCAAAATGAATAAAAAAAAAAAAAAAAGAAAAAATCATTCTCTCTCTCTCTCTCTCTCAAAGGGTCGTAAATGTCTAGGTTTATGAGCGTATAAAATGAAAATAATTATTACAAAATCTGGGAAAATTGTTTGAGAATTAAAGATATAGGGAGTTAAATTAAAAGTCGGTGGTGGCGGACCGTAATTAACCTTTATTTTTTTAACTTTTTTATTATTTTTATTATTATTATTATTTTTTTAAAAATAAATTTCGAAGAAATTTCCCCCTCCCCACTCTCCCCCTACTTTTCTCTTTTTTATTGAATATCGAGAGCGTCAAAAAATAATAATAATAATAATAATAATACGTCGAAAATTGCAATTTTTTTTTTTTTTTTGCGTGTTATTATTATTATTATTGTCAAACCTTTTTCAAAAAAAAAATTGGTTTGTTATTATTATTATTATTATTATTAGGGTTACCTTTTACAATTGTCGTCGTCATGTTTGATTTGAGGGAGAAAAACTAATGTCGCATATTGATTTTCTCGAACGAAAAAAAAAAAAAAAAAAAATTTAATTATACGCTAATAAAAATAATAAGGTGAAACGTGTAGCCTAGGTTTATTATTATTATTATTAGTCGTCGCCTTTCCTCCTCCCCCACCACCACCACCAGAATCAGGAATGAATACGATATATCGTGGTCATCATCCGTTAAGTTAAATGTTTCGCAAATGGAGGACAATCCCATATATATCAAGTCAAGGTTTTTTATTCTTCCTTTCCCTTCTTCCTTCAGGTACTCTTAACACGGTAGCTGACTGACTGACTGATTGATTGACGAACGTATATAAAAAATTCAAAATATTTTCTTCCCTTAAAATACCCACACGCATGCGCACAAGCATAACAAAATAAAAAAAATTGAAAATCTACAACGGTGGTAAAGAAGAAGGCGGTGGTGGTGGCGGTCGTGGCAGTAACGGCGGCGGTTATATTAAGACCTTACTACGTCATATTAACCTGTCAACCGTTTTTACGACTATTTTATAACAACAGAATTTAAACGTTATAATAAAAATGAAAAGAATAGTAATAATAATAATAATAAAATAAGTTGTTGTGGTTGTTATTATTATTATTATTTAAGATCAACTCGTCCGAATTTGAATGAGTTAATAATGAGGAGAATAAAAAAAAAAAAAAAAAAAATAAGACCACGAAAAAAAAAAATGATGATTAGGCTTTTACACTCTAGATGACATTGAAAAGCGAAACTGGTTTTAAAGAGAAGGAAACAAACAAAACAAAAAACTGACCGACCATAGGCATAATGGAGAGTATACATATATAAAGAGAGAGAGAGAGAGAGAGACAAACAAACAAACAAAAACAAAAAGTAATATAGAAAACAGGTGATTATCATCATCATTATTATTGATTTTATGTAATTTTCAATATTAAGACGATAAAATTTTCATCCGACAAACAACGCATACAACAACAAACTCGCGACAAACAAAAACAATACCAAAAAAAAAAAAAGTAACGGTCGAAAAGAAAAAAAAAATGTTGTTGTTGTTGTTGTTTTTGCATTCGTGTTGAGATATAATAATAATAATAATAATAATAATAATAATAATAATAATAATAATAATAATAATAATAATAATAATAATAATAATAATAATAGAGGAATCCCATGTTTTTTGTTTTATTTTGTTTTGTTTGTTAAACGCGGGTGGTGGACGAAGACATTGTTCTAGAAGGTTAATAACTGGTTTTAAATATCTGTATTTAAGTATTTCAAGGGCGAATGTCGGGAGCTTTAGTTTTAATTTAAAAAATAAAATAATAATAATAATGGATGAATTTTTTTTTTTAAATTTGAAATCTTTGCCAAAAAATTTTATATATATATTTATTAAAAAAAAAAAAATGTGAAGAGGTGTAATTAAGAGAGAGAGATGAGAAGTAGGAGGAGGAGGTAGAGGGAGTGGATGAGGAGGAGGAACGCATTCGATTTTTTTCTTCATAACAAAAAGCATGTCGCGAACGTCAAGCAAAAAAAAAATCTTAAATTTAAAATACACGAGACGTAGTGCAACAACAACAACAACAATCAGACGGATAATCAATCTTTTTCGTATGAATAACAAACTCTTTGTACGTTTAAAAAAAAAAAACGCGTTTAACAATATGATTGTTGAACGCGACGATGTGACACGTTACGTGAACCCAAAGTTGAAATTTCACACGGTTAGAAAAAAAAAAAAAAAAAAAAAAATGTCGACCGTTTTTGTTCACATTAGTGATAAATGCTATCAGTCGTGTCAGGTGAACTTAACACACGGAAGCGATTTAAACGCCGTAGGAAAAAAAAAAAATTCCCCCCCCCTCTCTCTCTCTCTCTCTGTCTCTCTCCCTCCCTATTGTTTGTTGTTTGCTTTATCACTTTTAAATTTTTTTATTTTTTCTTTTTCTTCTTCTTAATCGTTTAAACACTCTATGAAATTAAACGAACGAAGGAAATCGTACGTAACCCAATAATAATAATAATAATGATGATGATGATGATTTTATCATATCGGACCCCCGTGAATGAGGTCGTGAAGAGGAAGTAGTAGTAGTAGTACCAGTAATAAGGTTTCTTTTGTTTGACTAATTAAAGGAAGTTGTATTTTTTTTTTTTTTTTAACGGTGGGGGGAAGGGGGTCCGTTTTTTCCGTTGTCGACGTCGTACAGTGCCAAATAATAAAATGAATTAAATAATAATAATAATAAATACCGGTGAGAAAAGTATTTAAAAAAAAAAAAAACATCATCACCTGTTTTTTTTTTTTTTTTTTTGACGTGGTTGTTGTCGAAACGGTTGTTTATAATATTAACGGTTTTCGATCGTTTAAAATAATAATAATAATAATAATAATAATCATTAAACGAATTATATTTTTAAAAAGAAGAAAATTATTTACGGTGGCAAAAAAAAAAAATGTTTTGATTTGAATAACCACGAATCTTTTTTTTTAAAAAAAAAATTTAATTAATGTACGCGCCATTTTTGCAAAAATAAAATCTTTCTTTCGCACTTATTATTTCGTTCCGTTGCAAAAAAAAAAAAAAAAATTTTTACGGTTTATTGCAATTTTTAAAACTTAAATTATTATTATTATTATTTTTATTATTATAAAATAAAATTTTTAATTTCGGATAAATAACACGGTAAAAAAAAAAAAAAAAAAAATGGAAACCGTAAATCCTCTTCGGATTATTTATATATTCTTGTTTTTATTGTCTCAAAAAATGGCTGAGTTTATTTTAATAATTATTATTATCATCATTAATCGATCACGTGTGATTTTCAATCGGTCTAATCCACCACGCAAAAATAAATACGACGGGGGAGGGGGAGGGGAAACAAATTCATTTTAATACGATTCCATTCGTTCGTTTGAGTTAGCATCATTAACAAGAGTGCATTCATCATCATCATCATCATCATCGCCGTCGCCATCATTAAAGGATTTAACTTTATCACGCGTAATTTAATGAAATTTTTTTTTTTTTAAATTCCATGAAGATTATAATAACTGTATATTATATTTAAAATTATTATTATTATTATTATTACTATGTTTTCAAACATTATTCGAAAAAAAAATCCCATAGCATTTTAATTAATGACGTCATAATAGAAATGATTTATTGTTTTTTTTTTATTACGAATGGAAGGATAAATATATTGCATATGTTGTCCCACCATTATCATCATCATCATCATCATCATCATCATTATTATTATTATTATTATTATTATTATTATTATTATTATTATTATTATTATTATTATTATTATTATTATTATTATTATTATTATTTACATTCATTACGAAACGACGATGATGGCGACGACGACGACGTAAGGAGGACGAGGAAGGAGGGTCGTGTGTGTAATGAATTTGCTTACGGAAAATTAATTCTGTTCTGGTTTAAATGCCGTGGGAAAATTAAACTTGGAAGGGAAAAAACCCGTGTGGTGTGTGCGTGTGTGTGTGCGTACCTGGTGCAATATGAGACTCTTCTTCGCGAGGTTTTTCTTACAAGTTTGGCAAGTGAATCATACCACGCGTCGCTCACATTTAGAATATTTAATTCGACGACAATGATAATAATGATAAGAGAATGGGGAAAAAAACAATAATAATCGTTTACGGAATGGGAATGGGGAGGGGAAAGAGGAGGAGGAGGAGGAGGAAGGTCCGAAAGTAATTAATTTTTATTTTTTTTATTTTTTTCCAGGGAACTTTTTCCTTAATTTTGGAGGCTTGGCATGACAACAATCGTACATCGAAATCAAGCGGTGAGTAATTTTTTTTTCTTTCTCTCTCCCTCTCCCCCCCCCTCTCTCTCTCTCTCTCTCTTTTTCTTTCTCATCTTCTTTTCATTTTCCTTAATTTAAAATTCTAGTCGCGATCAAGAGAATAAGTTTTTTTTTTTTTTTTTTTTATTAATAACCAAACGAAAAATAAATAATTTACGAATTAATAAATTAAATTAGAAAAAAACATATAAATGAATGTGAATCCGGTAAAGTGGAAGAAGTGGAAGAGAGCGTAATAAATTGTATTTTCATTAAAAAAAAAAAAAAAAAACTTGATCCCGAATGTTTTCTCTCATCTTTATCTATCTAATTTTAATTTCCATTTATCTCTTTCTCTCTCTCTCTCACGCATGTGATAAAACCACACACACACACACACACACGCACTCGAACTCTTCTTTTTTTTTTTTATTAAAGGCACACAACGTTAGTGAATGAACGCGAGATTTTTTTTTTTTTTTTTTTTTTTTTGGAATCTGTGTACTTAATCATGTGAACATCCTGTTGTTGTTGTTGTTGTTGTTGTTCCGTCGTAAAACTTTTTTTTTTTTTTTAGCAGAAATAAAAAAATGGCAGAAAGGTTATGAGAAGGTCAGGTATAAAAAGTCGATTCTTTTAAAAAAAAATTAAAAACTCACATACTCTAAACTATTAAAAAAAAAATAATTTAATTGTTTTAATCCAGTTTTCTCTTTCTCTCTCTCTTTCTCTCTCTCTTTCTCTCTTTCTCTCTCTCATACCTTACGACTTTTAATTATCTCGGTAATAAAAGAATGAAAGAAGGAAAATTGTGGTGTGTACCTAACGTCAACTCGAATTAATAATAATAATTATTGTTATTGTTATTGTCGTCGTCGTCGTTACTTTTTATTATTATTATTATTATCATTTTGTCTGTTTTTTTTTCTTCTTTCTTTTCGACTTCCTCTCTCATTTAAAATGTTGCCAAGAAGATGAAGATGACAACAACAACAACAACAACAACAAAAAAGAGATATTAAAAAGAAAAAGAAAGAAAAAAAAGTAATTAGCGTGATGTAATTTTTAGTAGTTAAATAATAATATTAAAAATAGATTTCTATTTTTGTTAGACGTGTTATTTGTTTTTTTTTTTTTTTTTTTTTGAAAGAAAAATTGAAATTTAATTGTCGATGGAACGATTTGATGGTTGGGGAAGGGAGGGGGAGGAAGGAATAGGGAAACGGGGAGCTTTTTTTAAAAATCGGTTTTCCAGGAGTCGGGAATTATATGCGACTGATAAAATAAAACAATAAAATCGTTATTTATGTAATAATGTCGGTTGTTAAAGAATCTTTTTGTTTTGTTGGTAACACTGTAGTTGCCTTCGTCACGTGACGTTAAAAAAAAAAAAAAATTCTTATTTTTATCATCATCCCTTTTTTTTAATATTTACCCTTAACCGAAAAAAAAGAAAAAATGTTTGTTTTATTTGTTACGAGGATACGTTTGAACTTAAAACCACAAAGATGTGTGTTCTCTCTCTCTCTCTCTTTCTTTCTTTCTCTCTTTTTTCTTTTTTTTCGTGAGTTTTGTCGACGTTTTTCATTAGACCCGTACGAACAAATAAAAAAAAAAAATGAATTTTGTGTTCTGGTCGTACCTCAAATTTTTTTTTTGCTCTTATTAACATTAGGTTAGAGTGAGTGTTCGTTCGGCGGTAGGGTTTGAAAAAAAATATATGGATTCGAAATGACGTGGAATAAGACAAAACAAAATCCGTGTTGTTTTAAGGATGCGACGGTGTCGTGGCGCGATCGTTTTTTTTTTTTCTTTTGTCTTCCGTCAGTCAGATGCTTCTTCGACATTGTCATCAACATCCTGCATGATGATTAATATAAAATTCATCCTGTCCCAATAAAATACATTTACTCTGTGCCAAAGATAAAGAATAAAAAAGTGCCACAGAGATTGCAGAAAAAGGAAAAAGACCTTGAGTATATTTAAATTGATTAATTTTAAAACTGGTTACTATATAAAAAAAAAAAAAAGAAACCGTCGAAGAACAAAAAAAAAACCATGTGCCATAATTAAAAAAAAAAAAAAAAAAACTACGTTTTATTAATATACGAGGAAGTGCGTGTGTGTGCGTGTGCGTGTGTGTTGTGAAAAAAAAAAAAACGATGAGAGTACTTTTTTTTATTTCAAAGAAGGCAGTGCAAATTTTTATTAAATCCCTTATGAGACTGAGAGAGAGAGAGAGAGATGAAGTAGAGGATCCCGTTTTGGTAAATTTCCCTTCCCCCCCCCCCAAAATCGTTTTGATTAATTCTCAATTTAAAAAAAAAAAAAGGTTTTTTATTTATGAAATTAAATATCTTTACGAGAGAGGAGATGAAAAAAAAAAAAAAAAATTGTACCTGAAATGTAGGGTTACCTTTACCCTTCCCTTCCCTTTTTTTTTAAACTCATGTTCACGAAAATTTTCTCAAGGTTCCTCCTCTTCTTCTTCTTCTTTTTACGCATCTATAATCATTATAACAATTATTATCATCATCATCGTAATAACCGTTAGGAAAATTTTTTTTTGTTTTTGTTTTTATTGGTTTTACCTTACGAAATTTTCCTTGATATGAAAATTATTATTTTGTTTTGTTTAAAACAAGGTATTCCGATACCCGTTAATTTTTTTTTTACATAATAATCTCTTTGAAAGATTTCGCAAATTTTTTCGTTTTTCTCCTTTCCTTTTCTTGGGGGGAGGAGAGAAGAGAAGGGAAGGGAAGGGAGGAAGGGAAGAAGGGAATTTGACGGACGTCAAAACGTGTCTTATTTTTGCATCAAATTGATTGACTTTAACTATTATTGACCATTCGAAAATGCCAATTATCAACTTTCGATGTTATTAAATCATTATTATTATTATTATTATTATTATTATTATTATTATTATTATTATTATTATTATTATTATTATTAATAATTATAAATCTCTTCGAATTTTACGCAAGATGGCAACACGAGTTGTTTTTTTTAGTATTGCACTTTACCGACCTAGTTTTTCTTATGATTTTTTCAAAAGTTGTCACCCTGATCGTTTCCTTCCTTTGGCATCCCTGATTTGGAAAAACAATTTTCTTTCCCGTTAATTAAATTCTTTAGCATCGATTTCTTTCCCCCCCCCCTTTTCATCATCATCATCGCCATTTCGTTGTTGTTAAATGTTTTTAAATGCGTTTGTTTTGTTTTTCCTTGATATTTAAAAAAAAACATACCTGAAAGCAGGTTAAGCTCATTCCATTTTCGATAATTAAACAAAATTAAATTTGGAGGGGTGGGAGGTAGGGGAAGGGGGGAACACACGCATATTTATTTATAAATTATAAGTGAACGTCAGCAAAATTAATATCAATTTTTTTTTGCTTTAATTCTTCATATAACCTTTACGTGATTGTAAACGTGTTTTTTTTTTTTTTTTTCCATCTCGAGTTTGGCTATTTTTATACGTTTCCGGCATTTACATGACTTCTTCTCTATTGAAGACATTTAATTCCAAGGTGATCTGGTTCGGAAAAACTTTTTTTTTTTTTTTTTTGGGTTCTTTGTGCAAGCGGAATCGTGTTTACGCGGTGGTGGTGGCGGTGGCGGTGGTGAAGGTGCTTCGAAATGTCTAATTTTATTTAGTAGGCACTACATAAGTGACGAAATAGAAAAGGATAAAACGAAAATTAGAGAAAGAGGGAATCTCTCTCTCTCTCTCTCTCTCTCTCTCTTATGATTCGATTATTTATTTTATAAATTTATTTATCGAATCGCGATATATCGAAAATTAATTTTTCGTAAGTTAGGTAGTTTTTCGCTTTGAAATTTCTGTACTAACCTATTTGAATTGATTTAATAAAAACCACCATTTTATGGAGAAAAAAAAAAATGGCGGCGTTCATTTTCTGCATCGATGATGATGATGATGATGATGATGATGCGATTATGGTTTATCAAAATGAACCAATTTCAATTATTCAGATAGACATACTACATACGAACCTTGCCATTTGTGGCACGAAATGAAATTTTAAGATTAATTGCAAAATAGCGGAATGAAAAAAAAAAAGTAATTTTATTATTATTATTATTATTATTATTATTATTATTATTATTATTATTATTATTATTATTATTATTATTATTACCACAACTTTCGTTGCGTATTTTGTTTGTTACGTAAAAAATGAAATGAAATTTGAAAAGTTCAAATCGGTGTGTGTGTGTGTGTGATGATCCGAAATGAAATTTTATAAAAAAAGAATTTTTATATGAAGAAAATTCCCATACGGCGCACCCCTAAAATTTTTTTATAATTACAGGGTAGAAATGTTGGTGCTATCAATTTTATTTTATTTTATTTTTTTTTTTGGGGGGTTAAGAGTGACAAGAGATATTTAAGATGGTAGCCTCGCAAAATTTATCATAAAATACTCTTCCCCCCTCTCCAAAAAAAAAAAAAAAAAATTTAATAATACGTAATTATTTTTATTTAATTATTGACAGGGAAATTGAGTTTTAATTGATGCACCAGGGATTTGTTTGCGTTCCCCCTCCCTTTTCCCCCTTTTCCCCCTTCGAAATTCGTTTATTGTCGGTTGTTATAAAAAAAAAAAAAAAAAAAAAGGTTTTCCTTTTCTCTCATTCCATAAAAAAAAAAAAATTAATTTAATTACTGTTGCGTAATTGTTGTACGGGGCGGGTTGAGTTTTTTATTTTTTCTCAATCCTTTTAATTTGTACGTGCGTGCCTGTGCGTGCGTGCGTGTGCGTGTGTGTGTTCTCTCACAAACTGGGAAAAATTAACGTGGAACCAGACGGTTTAAAATAAAAAAATTATTTTCTTATCTTCGAAACAATGGTTTGTTATTGGTAAAATATCGTATTGGTTCTTTTTAAAAAAATTTACCTTCGGGGCAATTAAGTCGTTGTGTGTGTGTGTGTGACTCATTCGCATAAGGTTCGAAGAGTTATGAAAAAAAGTTTTTTTTTTTTTTTTCATAAACTGACCATTCACAGTTTCATCACGTTTAATATAACTGTCATAACTTTTTTTTTTCTATCTCTCTCTCTCTCTCTATCTATTTTTTTTTCTCCTCGTTCGTCGCCGTTTTGGGACCCGTAACGTGAACAGATATTAAATTTCTTTTACTTACAAACGAGTCATTATCTTATGAGTCGTCGATACACGGTGGGAACGACTTTTAAAAGTATTTTGAATTTTATCGTCCCATGCATTCCAAAGGGAACTTCTTCCGTTTGTTTGTTTCGTTCGTTTGTTTCGTTCGTTTGTTTCATTTGGTTGTGGATGTGTTTGTGTCCTGCACCAGTGAAACGATTTCAATCTTTGCGATTTATATCTATGAAATTATCACGATTAAATTCGTGCCCGTTTTTTTTTTTTTTTTTTTGGGAAAATGCCACGGTTTGTTTGTTTGTTTGTTTCCTTTCTTTCTTTCTTTCTTCTTCCTTTTAATTTTTGACGACGAAGACGACGTGGAAAAATTGTGAATGAATTTGTTTTTTGGGGGAATCGGATTACGCGGGGGTTGTTTTAAAATGTAATTCTTATGCGGATCCACGCTTATAATTTGGTTAATATAATTTTCTTCACGCAAGGGATGATGGTGATGATAATGATAATGATTGTTGTTGTTGTTGTTGTTAGTCCCAAGGCGTGTTTGTCATATGGTACTCAATTTATCTCGGGTTCTTTTATTTCATTCATTCATTCATTTAAATACGAATTAAACGGTTCGTTCCATTTTTTTTTTTTTAAGGCACGAAATAGCTACCATCCATTTTTTTCTCTCTCTCTCTCTCTCGAAATGATGTTTAAAAATGGTTCGGGGTAAAAAAAAAAAAAAAGAAACACTTTTTTTTCTGGAGGGATTCGAATTTTGTGCCACCTTTTCGGAACATATCTCCATCCACGTACTGAACCAAATATTTGTTTTTTTCGTTAGATAACTCATGAGGATTTTTGAAAGTTTTTTTTTTCTCTCTCTCTCTCTCCTTCGGTCAAGCACGTGACCCTGAATCGAAATAATCACGTGATGGAAAGAATTAATTTTATATGTAAACATTTAATTTCCGAATCGAAAACAACCCTTAATTTATTAACACACACTCACACAAAAAAATTGTCGTTTCGACAAACGGAAATTTTTTTTTTGGGGGGGGGGCGGGGATGAGGGAAGGTGGGGGTGAGGGTGGGAAGAGCAGAGATTATGAAAGAAAGGATCGGAAACACTAAAATAAAATTTTATTGATTCCCGACTATATAATGGGAAAGCCGAAAAGGTTTTTTTCTTCTTCGCTTTCGATTCTGCCAAATAATTTATCCCGGTTGATTTGTTTTTATTTCGATTCTGGAATCGTCGTCGGGATTTTTTACTATATTTATTAAATGTTTCGGATTTTGGAAAAGAAATTAGAAGAGAGAGAGAGAGGGGGGGGGGAGGGAGAAAGAAAAAGACAAAATCCGGAAAAAATAAAATTCGTTTATCGTTTTTTCGGCAGTTTTTGAGAAAAATTTTTTTGAATCGGTATCACGTGTGAGAAGAATTTTTTTTTACGTCACACGATATACACGACACTTTTTTTTTTTTTTTTTAGGGGGTGGATTTTTATCCGGTTGAAGATTAGAAATACAACCCTAAAAATAAAAATTTTATTATCATTATTATTTTGTATTAAATTAAACCAAACATCCTGCCAGGTGAATAAAGTTTACATTTATTTACTTATTTGATTTTTTTTTTTGTTGTTGTTGTCAGGTTCGCCTCGTACTCTCATCAGTAGGCTCATGACACAAAAATGGTTGGATCCGGGAGATGATTGGATGGAAGGGGAACAAAAATCAACGCATTCGTCTATACGATACGAATATCGCGTCGTCTGCGATTCTTTTTACTACGGATCGGGATGCGCAAATTTTTGCCGTCCGAGAGATGATAAATTCGGACATTATAATTGCGCACTGTCAGGAGCAAGAGTTTGTCTCTCAGGATGGAAAGGAGATTACTGTGATCAACGTAAGTAGTAGTACTTTATTTACATATATACCCATTCGATTCGATTCGATATATCGATCACCTCTTGATGATGAAGGGGGATGATTTCGAGAAACTCGTTAACTTTTTTTCTTCTTCTTCTTCTTCGATTTTATCGATGCGAGAAATTTACAATGATGAGTTTTTCTTTCTCTCTCTCCCTCACTCTTCTCTCCCTCCCTCTCTCTCTCTCTCTTTTTGTTAAATTGAAAATTATATTGGTTACGTGAACAACACTAACATTGTTCCGGTCGAAAGAATTTGAATGTATGATCTTCCAATTTTTTTTTTTTTTTTAAAACCACAAAAAGTTTTTTTCAATCAGATTTATATATGTACCATCTAAAAATTTTTTAAACCTGTGAAAAGGCACGATTGTACGTGCGTGCGTGAGTGCGTGCGTGTATGTTTGTGAACGTGGAAAACGCCTTCGTATTTATTGAAGTGTAAAAAAAAAAAATCAATCGGGGGAGGGAGGGAGGAAGGAAGGAGGGGGAAAGAGAGGTTCGTTTTTGTGTGTAAAAAAATTAAAAAAATTTAATTAAAAAAAACATAATAATTTTGTGATTTTTTTTTTTTGGGGGGAGGGGGTTTGCGGTAATCAAAATGGCGAAACAACAAACACACAACAACACGTACGTTAAATTAATAAAAAAAATTTTTTTGTTTTTTTGTTTCTCTTTCGTAACGTTCATCATTTTTTTTTTTTGTTTTGTTTTCTTCATCTTCTTCTCCTTCTTTCATTCTTTCTTTTTCTTTTTTTGATAAAAAAAAAAAAAAAGTACATGTAAATGTTACGAACTCGAGACGTGATTGAAGTCACCTGTGTGCCCCTTCAACGTGATTCTCAGTTTTTATTTCCACATTCACTTATACCTTTATACAAGCACACATATATGACTTTATCTGTATCTTAGTTGACAGGTAAAACAGATTAAGCCTTTTTCTGAATTCCTCAACGACTCAAAAAAAGAGAAAAAAAATTTCGTTTTCATATAAACCCCATTAGGCCTAATTTTTTTTTTCCTCAAAAATTTTTTTTCTCCCTTTGTTTTGTTTTCTTTTTTTCTTTCTTTCTCATTTAATTTCACCTTCCGAAACAACAACAACAACAACAACCAGAAAGTTTTTTTTTTTTTGGGGGTTTTCGTTATGGTCTTGTAATAAGTCTTTACTTTCCAGTTTTGACATTTTAAATAAGGAGATTATCGGGAAGGCGGAGAAGGGGGGAGGAGGAGGAGAAGACAAGGCCCCCATCATCGATTTTTATTATTTTCCTTCTTTCTCTCTCTCTCTCTCTATCTCCCCTCCCTCACTTATTACTTTATCATTACCGTGAATAAATCTTTGTTAGGGAAAATTTTTATCATAGAGTAAGAAAGAAACAAAAAAATTCTTGTCATTGATTGGTTGATTGGTTGTTGTCGGTGAGAATCGCACTTAACGTGGAATTAGATTTCTTTTTTTTTTTTTTTTTTTTTTTAATAAAAAAAAAAAAAATTTGTGAATAGGAGTTTTTGTAAAAAAAAAAAAAAATTATCGAGGGCATTTGGGTAATTGCAGGTTTTAACCGAAGGTCTTGATGGGAAAGAAATAAAAAAAAAAAAAAAAAAAAAATTAAGTAAATAGCATTGGTTGTGTTGTGTGTACCTGTGACCTACATATTAGTTTCGGTTTGAAATGAATTTCTCTGGCGCGTTTTTTTTTTTTTTTTTTAATACCAATTTTATCAATGATAATGGGTTGGTTCGGTTGCCCCCTTTTATAAGTATCAATCAATTAAAAAAATGGATCGGGATCAGTAGTGGAAGCAGAAAGAAAAAGAAAAGTAGGGGGGGAAAAATAAAACCCAACAATAATAATAATAATTGCGTTTTTTATTATTTCGATTGTTTTATTTTTAAAAAAGTAATAATAATAATAATAATTTTTTTTGTGTAATTAACATTTCGAAAACTCGTTTGTTGTTGTTTGTTATTATAAGTGTGTGTGTGAGAGAGAGGGAAAGAGCGCGTGGGATATGCAAAAGAGAAGAATCGGAGAATGACAAAAAAAAAAAAAAAATTACAAGTCGGTTTTCTTATAAATGGCGATTTAAAAAAAAAAAAAAATTTTTTTTTGCCGTTTCTCACGATTCGTTTCCTCCCCTCCCACTCCCCTTTCCCTCCTCCTCATCTTTCATTGATTCATTGAAAATTTAATTATCATTATCGTCATCGTCACAGTCGTTGTCGTCATTAACATTAACGCCAATTTTTTTATTTTACTCGTTTTTTTTTTTTTTTATAAAAAAAAAGTAATTTTTATGCAACGGAAAGGAGAACGGCATAAACTTCTTCTTCTTCTTCTTCTTCTGCATCTTTTCAAACATTTAATAATGTTGATCTTTTGACATTTGTTGTTGTTCTTATGAAAAGTCAAAGGAATTAATTACGAATCCGAGAGGCGGATTCAACAACAACAACATTCCCAAGTTTTTTTTTTTTTTTTTTTTTTTTTTGCGAAATATCCATTGAAAAATTTATTTATTTATTTTTTTCTATGCCACAAACTCGATTCGCGTTAAATGTTTTGTGTGTCACTTAAGTTTTTATCATTATTATTATTATTATTAAATATTGTGCGGTGTGTGTGTGTGTGCACGCCGAGTTGTGTTCTTAAAGCAAGATGTTTGTTAAATTACATGGTTCCCCATTTGCTCTACCACCCACTACCATTAACCCGTTAATTAATATGGTTAACGATTATAACATTAACAAATTCCATTTAAGGGTTTCGTTCACGAGCTTTTAGGTGTGCTCTGTCTGTTATTTTACGTTTTAAAAAAAATGGGTTAAACCCCTTCTAGAATTTTCGGTGGAAAGTCGTTCGGCCTTGTTTAAAAAACAAAGATGAGAGATGGATGGATGGATGGATGAGGCAAGGACGGTCGGTTAGTGAGAGAGAGAGAGAGAGAAAGAATTGGTTAAATTTATTTAGTCAGCCATCTGTAAAAAGAAGAAGAAGAAGAAAAAGAAGCAAAGAAGTTTCATTATCGAATGGCTCCCACGATTTATCATCATCATCATCATTTTTTTTTTTTTTTTCGGGTTGTTTGTTGGTTTCATAACAAATCGAAATAATAATAATAATAATAGGCGTCGTACCGTTAGCAAACAAATTCAAAAATAAAACGGAAAAGTTGATAGTTTTTTTCAAATGGGTTTTTGTTAGGGTGAGAGAGAGATAGAGAGAGAGAGGTAAAAGGAGATGATGAGTACTACTTCCGTTTGGAAAAAAAAAAAAAAAAAAATCCCCGAAGGAGAGCAAGTTCCCATGATGCTGCATTCGTGGAACACAAATATAACTGCACCTGCCGGCTACTGACGGTTGCGAGCTTTTTTTTTTTAAACCATCCATCTTATTATTCTAAAAGGAAATATGACTTCCTTTTTTTTTTTTTTTTTTTGAACTTCCTCACATTTTCTCCAGTAAATACTTTTCCAGAATGTTCGATTGAATAAACACATCGTTTGGATTTATTTTGATTGGGTGTGTGAGAAAGACACCAACAGACCGTGAAATAAAAATGTTTCTTATTAATTGTCAAGATATTGACTTGTATCAATTTATTTAATTTGATCGATTATTTTGAGAAGAGAGAAAGAGAGAGATAGAGATAGAAACATGTCGTCTTTTTATCTCTCTTACTCTCTCCCTCTCACTCTCTCTCTCTCTCACTCTCTCTCGTTCGAAAGAATCGAATTTTTTTTTTTTTTTTAATGAGACGTTATCACTTTGGGAAAAAAAAAAAAAAAAAAAACTCTTTGCTGCTACTTCTACCACCACCGCCGCCATTTTGAAATTCATTTTGTTTCGTTAAACAAGTTTTTGAAAAAAGAACTTTATTAAATTAAGTGTCGAATTAGTCTTTTTTTTTTTTTTTTTAATAAAGAACGAACGAGGAGTCGGAAGATTGAAAGATTGTTTTCCATGATGGGTTTTATATGGGGGCTCTAGAACACCCTTTTGGGTATATTATCGGTAGGATAACAACAACAACACTTTCCGTGATATCTCGTTCGTTTAAATTCTCATTTAACTCATTGTTCAGGTACCTGGGGAGTTTCTCTCTCACTCTCTCCAATTTTTCTTACCGTAGTTAGTCAAAGAAGTGATTTAACTAAGGTCTTCCATTAATAGATTTGGCAACGTCGTATTATCGTATCGACGTATTTAAGTTCCCACAGATTCTTCCAGCATTCATTGAAAGAGAGAGAGAGAGAGAGAGAAAGAGAAAGAGAGAGAAAAAAAAATTTTTTTTTAACCTTCTCCTAGTCCGGTCCGTTTTAACTCATCCCGTCAGTGTTTGCCTTATAGAAATTTCGCTTTCTAAATTTTTTTATTTTATTTTATTTTATTGTGCGTGCACGCACACGCACGCACACACGCATTTTATTTTATTTTTTTTTCTCAGTTCGTGATCGTTCTTTTAAAATTTTCTCAATCTTTCATTATTTTTATTTTTATTTTATATATTTAAAATTTTTTAAATGATCGATTATTTTTACCTTTTTTCTCTTCTCCATTTTGATTTTTAATTAAAAAATTTATATATATATATAAATTGATGGGTCCATCATCAAATTTTTTTTTTTGTGTTGGTAACCCTTTGTTTTCGTTGTTCATTGTAACGTTATTTATTTTTGAAAAAGTTAACACAACACGCAACAGGTGAATTTTATTATTATTATTATTATCGTTAGGTTTTTACGTGCTAAAATTACTCTTTTCCGTGATTGTTTTGTTTTCTCTCTCTCTCTCTCTCTCTCTCTCTCTCTCTCTCTCTCTCTCTCTCTCTCTCTCTCTCTCTCTCTCTCTCTCTCTCTCTCTCTCTCTCTCTCTCTCTCTCTCTCTCTCTCTCTCTCTCTCTCTCTCTCTCTCTCTCTCTCTCTCTCTCTCTCTCTCTCTCTCACTTTGCCACCAAAATAGTTGTTTTTTTT